AACCAACTAAAAGTAAAGGATCATTTTCATTTCTGAAAATCTTACTGTTTATTGAATACATGGCCTGGTAAAGGCGAGGTAAAACTAACTCTAAAATCCCAAGGCATCGGACCAGGGGTCTTCAAACTTGGCCCTTTTATGACTTGTGGACTTCAACTCCCAGAATTCCTCAGCCAGTGTGAGGGAACCATGACCCTTTTATGACTTGTGGACTTCAACTCCCAGAATTCCTCAGCCAGCGTACCTGGCTGAGGAATTCTGGGAGTTGAAGTCCACAACTCATAAAAGGGCCAGGTTTGAAGACCCCTGCATCAGACCACAGCATATAACAATCACTTTCCCAGCCAAACTCCCCCCAGATGTCCATGTAGCTCATATAAACATATTCTCTTTGTTATGGGACCATCTGCTCTCTTCTTCACACTTGCTAGAATGTCCTTGAAAGGTTTCCATGCTGCTGACTTTCAGAAAGCTTCCACAGAACTTGAGAGGTTTCGTTTTTTCTAACTAATCCATTCAAAAACATCTCCTCCGTGCACCCACCCCCCCTTTATTCTAATGGCAAGATAAATACAGAGAGGCACGTAGCTGCTAAATTTTCACTCTTGACTGTTTCTCAACTGAGTGGACTTCAAATCCCAGAATTCCCCAGCCGGCGTTGGGGATGTTTTTCGACATGCACTTCGGGCCTATAGTCTGATCTCTAGACAGGCTCCTCTATCCAAGTTCCAAGTAGGCCTCAATCCATCCCAACCATCTATTGGAGCCATTATACTGTACAGTTTTTTTAGTCTGTTCCCAAATACAGATAGCCCTCAAGTTACAACAGTTCATTTACTGGCCAATTAGCTTGAAACATGGGCTTCCTCTCCAGCTCTCCAGCCAGCCAATTCTTTATCATCTCTTATTTCAATAACCTTGGTTCTCACACTAGTTTCAGTATTATATCTAGCTAGACTCTCATGCACATTCCTCCCTTCTCCCCAGCATCATCTAACTCTAAAAGCAAAAAGAAGAAAATGGCTGCATCTCCATCTGTTCTCAATGCAAAAACATCTGATGTTAGCAGCGTTGACAGTTAACTCGTTTTATCGGCAATGTTTAGCAACAACTGGCACAACTGCCTCAAGCATCCCAGCATCTCCCAGGAGAGGATCCATACAAGAAGGGCCTTACCTTCCCTTCCAAGCCACTTTGTAAAATCCGTCAGAGTTTCCCACTGGGTCGCGTTCATATGGATGTGTTCCCGATGACTAATATATTCATTATATACTATATTGTTGTGGACTCTCTTTGTTCCTGGGAGGAGAAAAAAACACACACACACTCTTCATCAGAAGCTTCCAACTGAACTAAAGAAGCATCATTTTATTGCAGCTCTTCCATTGTGAAATAGCATTCCCCCCCCCAAGATTGGTATGGTGCCCATCCTACAATTGTTCCAAAGTTCTTAAAATGTGGCCCTGCTTCCATGCCCGGGATTTGGGTGGATGCCAAGTCTGTGACTTTTTTGGGTTTTTTGCTGAGCTACGTTTAATTGTTTTCCTCTTCTGGATGTACCTGATTTTTATTAATGGTCAATATTTATAGCTCAGGGTTGATATGAGGGGTCCTGAGTGCTCTCTGAACTTGCCTGTTTTCTTGCAGATGTTTCATTGCCCTAACTAGGTAACATCATCAATGCTAGCACTGATTAGCACTGATGATGTTACCTAGTTAGGGTAATGAAATGTCTGCAAGAAAACCAGCAACCTCAGAGAGCACCAAGGAGCACACAGTTCTTCTCCTCTTCCTCTTCCTCTCTCCCCCCCCCCCCACAAACCTCACTCCCTTCTAACACTGATGATGTTACCTAGTTAGGGTAATGAAACATCTGCAAGAAAACAAGCAAGTTCAGAGAACACCAAGGATCCCACAGTTCTCCTCCTCTCCTCCCCCCCCAACCCCATTCCCTTCTAGCACTGATGATGTTACCTAGTTGGGTAATAAAACATCTGCAAGAAAACAAGCAAGCTCAGAGATCACCAAGGGCCCCCTTCATGATTTTAATTGCTCGAGCTTTTTTCTTTGGTTTTATCCTTAACTACTCAGTTTGTTCTGGGAATCAGGCACTGGTGGCACAGTGGTTAAAGTGCAGTATTGCAGGCAAACTCTGCCCACTGCCAGGAGTTTGATCCTCAAGGTGGACTCAGTCTTCCATCCTTTTGAGGTCGGTAAAATAAGCATCTGGATTGTTGGGGGCAATATGCAAATAATGCTTCTATATTGTAAACTGGCCAGAAAGTTGTGTAAAGCGCTGGGGGGGAAAGGGGCAGTACCTAAGCCTAAATGCTGTGGCTAGTCTCCAAATCTAATTTAAACAAACAAATAAACCGATTTACCAAATCTTCTCCGGAGAAGTTCTAGGAAATCATTCCGGAATTCCCTAGAGGAATATGAAAGAGACAGTTTTTATCTGCAACACTAACTGCATCAATTCAATTTATATCATAGCCTTTGAGTAACACAGAAACCTTGTCAGTCAGAACAGAAAGATGACACTCCCCACACTCCCCAAAAAGTGGAGGATAGCTTGATAGACCATGAATTAAGTCTTCAGAAGAGCCTTTGCTAAGCTTAATTGAAAGCTCCCACTCCCAACAAGATGAGAAAATTCTAAAATTTGTCTAAAGAAATAACCGCAAGTCTACCATATACCAACTGCAGCCGCAATGCTGCACAAATTTCAGCGGAAGCAGACCATAAAATGCAGTGTGAAGTTATAGACCAAACTCACTCTGAAAAATAATCCATGAATTGCTGAGGATTTTCGGATGCAAGCAGCAGTTGTCGCTGGTGAGATTCGGACATGCAGTGACATTTAAAGCCATTCTGGAAAAACAAGACAAGGACGCTGCATTTGAAAGACACCGAAACCAAGTCAAAATTCCCCAGCAAGCCTTGAACAGGTATCATGAGTAGCTAAAGCATTTTAAAAAACATGGAGATAAAATGATGAAGAAACTACAGAGTTCCCTTGCTCGGCTGATGAGAAGCTACCAAAAGAACAAGTTATTTACCCCCCCCCCCCAAAGTGGCAGCAATCCTAGAAGTGGCAACCTTTAACAATATCCAGATATTAGATTTGGTTGCTTTCTGAAGTCAACTAGGCTAAATAATTAAATAAGCCAGCCTGACTTCAATTCAATGCAGCCATTTGTCCTTGTTCGCATAACACATTTAGCTTCGTCGGCTAAAGATCTAACGCCACTATTCAGCCAATAAACTAAATTAAGTGTTTTGTGTCCCAGAATATGGTACAAAGTCACACCATGAAGCTGGCCACTGCACTGTACAATCCCAGAAAATGAAAGAATTCAGGTGCCCTTTCATGGGTTGATTTATCATCAGTCTTAAACTGATGGGGAGTCTTTGGTCTAACAGGGTCTTTTTTTTTTTTCAAACGTCACCACTTTAAAATGGGTGGACTTCCAACTCCCAGAATTTCCGAGATAGCAACTCTGGGTATTGAAGTCCACTCATCTTAAAGTGGCCAAGTTTGAAAAAAAGGTGGTTTAATACAAGACGAATGAAAAGGACCTCACTCTCACAGAAGGCTGGCTGAGAACGCAAAAACTCTTCATATTATATATTGCCCAAGACTCAGTTGAAGAACCACAGTGATGAAACCTGGAAAACCAAACCTGTTTCATCAGTGGAAGATTTCAAGAAGAGACTGGACAGCCACTTGTCTGACATGGTACAGGGTCTCTTGTGTGACCAGAGGGTTCGACTAGAAGACCTCCAAGATCCCTTCCAGTTGTGTTGTGTTCTACTCTACTCTATTATTATATTTCATTCCCTATTCTATTCTATTATTCTGTCCTATCCTATATTCTATTCTATTATCCTATCCTGTCCTAAGCCTTATCCTATATTCTATTCTATTCTTCTCCCATTCTTTATCCTATATTCTATTCTACTATTCTTTATCCTATATTCTATTCTATTCTACTATTCTTTATCCTATATTCTATTCTATTCTTCTCCCATTCCTTATCCTATATTCTATTCTATTCTACTATTCTTTATCCTATATTCTATTCTATTCTACTATTCTTTATCCTATATTCTATTCTATTCTTCTCCCATTCCTTATCCTATATTCTATTCTATTCTACTATTCTTTATCCTATATTCTATTCTATTCTCCTATCCTATTATATCCTATCCTATTCCTTATAGTCTATTCCAGGGGTCTTCAAACTTGGCCCTTTATAACTTGTGGACTTGAACTCCCAGAATTCCTTAGGCAGCGTGCCTGGCTGAGGAATTCTGGAAGTTGAAGTCCACAAGTCATAAAGGGGCCAGGTTTGAAGACTTCTATTCTATTCTATTCCCTACTCTACCTTCACGGTGGAACAAAATCACCATAAGACATGCGAAGAGTCAACCTAAATCCGCGAGAGATTCGTGGCTGAGGACGGAAAAGGACATCCGAGGACAGGGCTTCCTTCCGTGCGCCCAGATACACTGCCCCTGCCCCTGGAGGCTCTCCCTTTACCTCGTCCCGGCACTGCTTCTGGCACATCTGGCAATACCAGCGCAGCTTCTGCAGCCCCTTCGACTTGATGCGGTTGGCGATGGCCTTGGGGCTCAGGAAGTCCGTCTTCCCCATGGCGAGCGAGGCGGAGCAGCGGCGCCACAAAGCACCCGGCGACTGCGACCCTCACTTCCGGACTCTCGGTGGAGGAGGCGGAAGGGCTGACCGGAAACGGAAGTGGCGTAACAGGAAATCATCATCATTGACTTGAGGAAGGTTTTCGCTCTTCTATAGCTCTCCTGGTGAATTTCTCCCCACCCCCCACCCCACTCCGGGACCAGGAATCACGGAAGTTATAGTGCGATGCTGTGTAAAGTCTGTCCCGGGCGTTGAAATCTCAATTAATAATTTAAAATATTTATTCTTTTATTAAGTCTACACATCGTCCAAGTGACAGGTCGCTCTAGCACGTCAGCTTCGTGGCGTCAGTTCTCTTTGGAGGACCGCCGCAGTGATGCCCGCTCTAGCCGGCCAGCTCAGTGTCCGAGAAATCATAGAGAGGAATGAGAGGGTGTGAGAGAGAGAGTGAGGGCGCTCCACCCGGAAGCCGTCACTGCTCTTTCTCTCACTTCCTGCGGCCCGGTTCAGGCGAGGAAGCGCGACGCATGCGCGGTGCGGGCGCCCTGACCTTCAGCAGCGGCTGCAGCCGGCGACGGGCAGCGGGACGAGGCGGCGGGAAGGAGCCTGATCGGCGGCGGCGCTGCTGCGGTTATTGTCGCTGCCCACGCCCAGCCGCGGTGGTACTTCGGGAGAAGGTGAGCCGGGCGGGTTTCTGCACGTGCTCAGAGGCACTCTCGCCTCCCTAAGTCAGAATAGAGCTGGAGGGGACCTTGGAGGTCATCTAGTCCAACCCCCTGCTTAGGCAGGAGACCCTATGCCATTACAGACAAGTCTTGGGGGTGGGGGAGGCAGTCAGACTGGCAGGCGTGGAAAGCTGCTTTGAGTTTCCCTGGGATTTCTTTCCCATGTGGCCCATGTCCCATCACCTTGGGGACAGTGGCTGATGGGTGCTGGAGTCCTGCAGCATGGGAGCTCTAGGGAATCTGTGCCCTCCTACCTAAGGCTCAGTTATAAAAGTTACTTGGGTGGGGATTATGTTGTTGTTGTTATTTTGCATTCACTGGAAATCTGATCTATTATTGTTATCATTATCAATAATAATTATAATTACAATTGTAATTATTTGCATTCGCTGGGAATCTGATCTTACCTGATTCAGTTGTCTCAGCCATTGACTTTCACAAAGTTTTAATTTCTAACCTTTAATTCTAATCACATTCCGTGTTTAAGAGGTCCCTAAGGAGGGGGGTGCCCTAATATCCCATCGCCCCTGTCACGTTTTAATTTCCTTTTTTGCTGGTTCAGTGTTTTTTTTTATTCAACGAATAAAATAATTCTGCCTGCCTGTGGCTGAAGTGCAGAGATTGTTATGTGGCCTGCCTGGAAAATAGATTGAATCGCATTTCTTGCAGAGTTTCTGGAGATGCGTTTGTGGGACTCTAGGCAGTTTCTGCAAACCGACACATTACCCCCCCAAGCACTTTCATTTCTCCCCCCCAGTTGAATTATTTTATTTGAAAGAATTATCCATCTTCAGAACACAACTCTGGGCAGCCGAGAGTAAAAATGAGAAGGCAATGAAAAAAACCATGAACCTGGCCCCTAAACCAGTTTATGATTCAGTTCTTGTCAGCAAAAAATTGAATCCCTTCAGGAACCAGAGCGTTCATTTCTCTTGTGGGATGAAGCCAGTATATTCTTTACTCAAATCTAATTTAAATGCAAGAACACTTTGTTTCTGAAAACTTCAACTCAAAACAGAGGGCATATTTTGTTTTCCTTTTAGCCACATTCCCAAATACTTTATTTTTCTTGGTGCAGGCATGGGAAGTAACGTAAAAGACACCCTGTTGTTATGTAGAGAGCTTTCATCTCTTTTATTTTTTGATCAAACTGCTGTACTGTATTGCATAGTGCAAAAACTGGAGATTTTTAAATGACTGCCAGCCACACTTGATGGGTTTTCTGGGTGGTTAAGGTGGTCTCAAATGGGTGGTATTTTCCATTTTTTTTAAAAAATGGTATTTAAAAAAAATCAATTTTGAGGAAAAGCGCACAACTTGATCTCTTCTGATGGAATATTTAGGAGAGGATCGCAACAAGCATGTTTTCCTTTTTATTTCGTAGCCTTCGATTGTCAGGTTTGTATCTTGAATTTTAGTGCCCTTATTGAAAAGTGAATCTGAGTTTAGTTAACAAGCATTATATATCCAAGTAAGCATTCTTTAGAAAATGGATGATCTATTTGCAGCTGTTCTATATATTTGTTAATCTAGCAACCGAAGGAGGCACATTCGGTTTATGAAATATTGCAAATATGTGTTTATTTTTTTCAGGATCCAAGTTAGCAACATGGCGACTCTGAAAGACAGTAAGTGTTTTTATGTTGTATTTATTTGTCTGAGATAGTAGCCTAAACCAGGGGTCTTCAAACTTGGCCCTTTTATGACTTGTGGACTTCAACTCCCAGAATTCCTCAGCCAGGCACGCTGGCTGAGGAATTCTGGGAGTTGAAGTCCACAAGTCATAAAAGGGTCATAGTTCCCTCATGCTGGCTGAGGAATTCTGGGAGTTGAAGTCCACAAGTCATAAAAGGGCCAAGTTTGAAGACCCCTGGCCTAAACAGTCTGAAATCATGACTGCATCTCCTTTTTACAGTTCCATTTAAGAATCTAATACTCTCTATATAGCAGTATATAAAACATAGTACTTTGGTTTTATTCTGCCATTTTCTTTGTCTACTTTATCTACTTCAAATCCTACTTCACTTCATACCCTCTAATCCATTCAGTTACCCGACGCTTGAAGTCTATCAAGAATATCCAGAAAATCACTAAATCCATGAAGATGGTTGCTGCCGCAAAATATTCCAGGGCGGAGAGAGAATTAAAGCCTGCCAGAGTTTACGGCGTGGGGGCGTTGGGTAAGGGATTTTCCTCCATTGTATCTTACTCCATTGTATCTTACTCATTGTTAGGGGCCACATCTCACTCTCTCTCTCTGTCTCACTTTTTTTTTTTTGCAGCTCTCTACGAGAAAGTGGACATCAAACCCCCTGAGGACAAGAAAAAGCATCTCCTTATCGGAGTGTCTTCTGATCGTGGCTTGTGTGGGGCCATCCACACCTCCGTGGCCAAACAGATCAAGAGCCAGTTCTCCAACCTGACCGGTTCGGGGAAAGAAGTCATGGTGGTTGGGATTGGGGACAAGCTCAGAGGCATCCTTCAAAGGTAACCTGCTCTTCTGGGGGCTCAACAATCTGAAGTTGTCCCTGACTTAACAACCATTGGTTTAGTGACCATTTGAAGTTACAACGGCACTGAGAAAAGTGACCTGTGGCCGTGTTTCACACTCACAGCTGTGGCACTCTTGACTGTGTTTTACCACGGTTTTGCTGAAAACTGGCACAAACCAGGCCCACAGCAAACCATTAATGACTGTGTTGTTCGCTTCACAACCGCAGATTGGCTTAAGTGTGGTGATTCGCTTAACAACTGCCATAAGAAAAGGTCATAGAATTGGGTTGGCTACATGGCTGGCCTGTTGTCACATTCGACCATAATGCGCAGGCTCCATTAGAGTCTTTTATGTCGAGGACTATATCAGGGGTCTTCAAACTTGGTCCTTTTATGACTTGTGGACTTCAACTCCCAGAATTCCTCAGCCATCGTGAGGGAACTGACCCTTTTATGACTTGTGGACTTCAACTCCCAGAATTCCTCAGCCATCGTGAGGGAACTGACCCTTTTATGACTTGTGGACTTCAACTCCCAGAATTCCTCAGCCAGCGTGAGGGAACTGACCCTTTTATGACTTGTGGACTTCAACTCCCAGAATTCCTCAGCCAGCGTGAGGGAACTGACCCTTTTATGACTTGTGGACTTCAACTCCCAGAATTCCTCAGCCATTGTGAGGGAACTCACCCTTTTATGACTTGTGGACTTCAACTCCCAGAATTCCTCAGCCAGCATGCCTGGCTGAGGAATTCTGGGAGTTGAAGTCCACAAGTCATAAAAGGGCCCAGTTTGAAGACCCCTGGTCTAGTTGTTGCATTAGAGATCAACTGAAATTTCTGGGTGTTTCTGGATTTAGACTGATGCAACTTGGAATGTGTCGCATAACAACCTTACTCTTAATTTTAGGACGCACGGAAAGAACTTCCTCTTGAACTTTAAAGAAGTTGGAAGGAAGCCTCCCACTTTTGGAGACGCATCGGTCATTGCTCTGGAGCTGCTGAATTCTGGATACGAGTTTGACGAAGGCTCCGTCATCTACAATCGGTTCAGGCAAGAATTAACCCCTTCTTCTGAAATCTAGGGAGGGAGTTTTCCAGGCAGAATAACTCCTTGATCTGGCTTACTTTAATTAAGAGTAAACACCGATAAAGGAGAATGTAACTCAGGGTTAAAATGATAGGTCCTTGGTGCTCTCTGAGCTGGGTGTTTATTTGTTTTTCCAGATGTTTCATTACCAAACTAGTTAACATCATCAGTACTTTGCTAGCACTGATGTTAACCTAGTTTGGGTAGTGAAGCATCTGCAAAAAAAAACAACCCAGCTCAGAGAACACCAAGGACTCCTAAGAGTAAACAGTTCAACAGAATCCAAACAAAAGGAACAACTTTAGAGGACTGGAGGCTAAAACATATGAGGAACGGTTGCTGGAATTGGGTAGGTCTAGTTTAATGAAGAGAAGGACGAGGGGGGACATGATAGTAGTCTTCCAATATCTCAGGGGCTGCCCCAAAGAAGAGGGAGTCAAGCTATTCTCCAAAGCGCCTGAAGGCAGGACAAGAAGCAACGGGTGGAAACTAATCAAGGACAGAAGCAACCTAGAACTAAGGAGAAACTTCCTGACAATGAGAACAATTAACCAGTGGAACAACCTGCCTCCAGAAGCGGTGAATGCTCCAACACTGGAAGATTTTAAGAAGAGACTAGACAGCCATTTGTCCGAAATGGTATAGGGTTTCCTGCCTGAGCAGGGGGTTGGACTAGATGACCTCCAAGGTCCCCTCCAACTTTATTATTATTATTATTATTATTATTATTATTACTACTACTACTACTACTACTACTACTATTATTACTACTTCTATTATTATTACTATTATTATTATTATTATTAACTGGCTGAAGGAAATTAATTCCTGTTGGAACCAATTGCTAGTTTTTGCTAATCAATAAGTTCTGATATTTTTATTTTTTTCAGAACAAAAGAAAAGGCAGCCTTAAATTGATAGTGGAGCATCGGCATATTCTTTCATGAAATACGTACATCTTCTACCTGAAGCTGGAACAGATAAGGCAGTATGGTTCAAATTAATTTTCTTTTCTTCTCCCCTCAGGTCTGTCATTTCCTATAAGACTGATGAGAAACCAATCTATTCTCTTGAGACGGTTTCTGGGGCTGGTAAGTCCAGGAGTAGAAAACGGCTAGTGAGTAGCCATCTCCAGTCTTCCCTCCCTCCCTCCCTCTCTCTCTCTCTCTCTCTCTCAAATGGTGCATGAGTCCACTTTCCATAGAAGAGCCTTCACAAAATACTATACACCAGGAAACCCTATACCATTTCAAACAGGTGACTGTCCAGTCTTTTCTTAAAAACTTCCAGTGTTGGAGCATTCACAGCTTCTGGAGGCAGGTTGTTCCACTGGTTAATTGTTCTAACTATCAGGAAGTTTCTCCTTAGTTCCAGGTTGCGTCTCTCCTTGGTTAGTTTCCATCCATTGATTCTTGTCCTGCCTTCAGGCGCTTTGGAGAAGAGCTTGACTCCCTCTTCTCTATGGCAACCCCTGAGATATTGGAAGATCTCCATTAGATCTTTAATGAATGCAGGTCACTTTCCTATGTATTGAATTGCCCAGTAATCTGAACTGTTATTTAAATGCATGCAGATGGATGGTGGTGTATCCCTCTGTCCTACATAATATACGTCAGACATGTCAAACACAAAGCCCGGGGGCCGGATGCGGCCCGCGAAGTGGTTTCATGCGGCCCGCGAAGCCATCCTGGAAACAGTGAGGGAACGGCCCCCGCTGCCTTGGCCCTGGCCCAGGCCAGCCGGGAGCCAATGTACAATTTTTGTGGTGGCCATCTATGCTGAAATGCATTCAGTCTTAGCTCCACAAGGCCGTCTGGAAACAGCGAGGAACCGGCCCCTGCCGCGTTGGCCCCGCCCTCTGGGTGCATGCTGGGGAGGGGTCACCCTTTGTAAGGAATGAAGAAATGGACCATGCCTTGGCGCTTGCCCCGGTCCCACCGCCCTTCTGCCAGAGACCCTCAGATCTGTCCCACTCCTGCCCAGGCCCCCACAGGCACCCTTGACGCGATGTAGAGCTGGCCATGCCCACCCAGTATGTGACACCCACTCCATCCACGCCCACCCAGTAGGCCACACCCACCCTGGCCAGACACCCCCCCCCGAGGGCAACCACAATGCTGATGCGGCCCTCAATGAAATTGAGTTTGATATACGTTCAAGGCTGTAAGGAACAAGCTGTACCAACTGTTGTGCTCTTTACAGAAAGCATTAGCATCTACGATGACATCGATGCGGATGTCCTGAGAAACTACCAGGAGTTCGTATTGGCTAACATCATCTTCTACTCCATGAAGGAATCTACTACGAGTGAGCAGAGCGCTCGGATGACCGCTATGGATAATGCCAGTAAAAATGCCTGTAAGTGGAATTCTGGGTCCTCATTTTACCGACCTCGGAAGGAGGGAAGGCTGAGTCAACCTTGAGCCGGTCAGGAACGAACTGCTGGCATTGGGCAGAGTTAGCCTGCAATACCGCGTTCTAACCACTGCGCCACCACAGCTCTTCTTAAATATAGGAGGCACTTCCAACGGTCAGTTAATGCAAGCTCAAAAACCTTTGATCGATGGGTTGACTCTTAGATAGCTTTCGGGAGGCTTGCATAAAAATGATAAATATCTTAAAAAGCAATCAGGTTAAAAAACAACAACCCAGATTTAAATATTATGAGCGATAAAGCATTAAGAACAGACAAAATAGTTACGTCTTGCTTGCTGTAGCTCAGGAATAGAGTATTCCAAATAGATGATTTAGCTTAGAGCAGGGGTCTTCAAACTTGGCCGTTTTATGACTTGTGGACTTCAACTCCCAGAATTCCTCAGCCAGCCTCCATTTTGTTTGTTAGATTTAAGCCAGGGCTCTTCAAACTTGGCCCTTTTATGACTGGTGGACTTCAACTCCCAGAATTCCTCAGCCAGCCTCCATTTTGTTTGTTAGATTTAAGCCAGGGGTCTTCAAACTTGGCCCTTTTATGACTTGTGGACTTCAACTCCCAGAATTCCTCAGCCAGCCTCCATTTTGTTAGATTTAAGCCAGGGGTCTTCAAGCTTGGCCCTTTTATGACTTGTGGCCTTCAACTCCCAGAATTTCTCAGCCAGGCACTGCCTGGCTGAGGAATTCTGGGAGTTGAAGTCCACAAGTCATAAAAGGGCCAAGTTTGAAGACCCCTGGCTTAGAGCTTCCCAATCTCAGCAACAGCAAGCATGCTGGCTGGGGAATTCTGGGAGTTGAAGTTCACATATCTTAAAGTTGCTGAGATTGAGAAACACTACTTTAGCTAAAGGAAAGATCTCTTTTTAATTATTATTTTTTTTAAATCCCCCCTTTATTACTTGGATAAGCAGCTCAAGGCAGTGAACATATATAATTCTCTCCTCCTGTTTTTCCCCCAACACCAACCCTGTGAGGTGGGTTGGGTTGAGAGAGGGACTGGCCCAAAGTCATCCACCTGGCTTTCATGCCTAAGGCGGGAATAGAACTCACTGGATCCTGGTGATTGGCTCAAAGTCATCCGGCCAGTTTTCATGCCTTATATGTGATATATGAAATAATGGTCTCCCCCCTCCCTCCCTTCTTGTTTCCCCCCCTCCCTTTTAAAGCTGAGATGATTGACAAGCTGACCCTGCGATTCAATCGCACGCGTCAAGCTGTCATCACCAAGGAACTGATTGAGATCATCTCTGGTGCGGCAGCTCTGTAAGTATTGGACAGATGTCTCCTTGAAGTTCTGGTTATTTATTTTTGTGGGGGCCCTTCATGCTTTCTAAGCTGGGTGGTGTTCTTGCAAAGGTTTCATCACACAAACTAGGCAACATCATCAGTACTCTAGCACTGGTGACGTTACCTAGTTGGGTAATGAAACGTCTGCAAGAAAACTACCAAGCTCAGAGAGCACCAAGGACCCCCCCCCATCCGATGTTAGCAGCATCCGGCCCCCCCTTAGAAAAGGACAGATCCTGTAATGTAAACAAAAGCACACATTAGGGATTGCCTCTCGGTTTATTAGGGTGTTTCCTATAGCAGGGCTTTTCAACCAGTGGTACGGGTACCACCTGTGGTACATTGGCACCTGGCAGGTGGTACGCGACCATCCTAGAAAAGAGTAGTGGGGGAGGGGAATGAGCTGAACCGGTGGCAGCACCGCACAAGCCTGAGCGAGAGACGGCTGGAGCTGCAGGGCTGTCAGGGCTCAGCGGAAGTGCCAGGATCTGTGCCACTTTCCAGCTGATCGGCGCTTCTTCGGGGCTGTCAGGGCTCAGTGGAAGCGCCAGGATCAGCGCCAGGATCCAGCTGGAGCTTGGCGCTGATCCTGGTGCTTCTGCTGAGCCCAGAAGAAGTGCCGATCAGCTGGAATGTTGCAGCATCTCCAGC